TTTTTCAACTGCTATGGGTATGCGTCTCACTGGCTGTCGTACCGGCTTTACCACAGGGTCAATTATCAATCTTACTTTAACGCTCTTCATGTTAGGAAACTTTCCAGGTGAATCTTTTACTGCATTCATTCCCAGTTACAGTACTCCCAGGCGAGTAGCTGCAAGTTTTCCTAATAAAGAAATTTTTCTTTCTTCGATAACGTAGAACGGTGCTATTATTTCTTTATTTTGGTTGAGACGAATTCCTGCCATGAAATGGCATTTTGCGTTCAGGGACCGCTGAGACTCATAGGGCGTTAACATATTCTCTACATTTGTGTTGACATCCCAGATAACTGCATTTTGTTGCACCAATTCTCTCCAATCTGCACCACTAATAACATTTGCTCTTGTACCAGAATCGATGAGCATTGTAATAGTAATTCCTTCAATGGAACATTCAATGAGTTCGTCGTCATCCACTGCGATTTTTTTTCGTATTTGGTAGTTCTTGGAATTCCCTTCGGTTATTCGAACAGCCAAACTCTGATGCATCAGAGTCTTCATCATTTGGGTCATCGATACCAATGTGATGAAGATTTGATTGTCTGTACCGCTTAGTAGGTGGTGCTGATGATTTCGATCTATGCTCATTGTGAGATTCCAAATTGACTGATTTTGTTCTGCATTTAGAAGCAAAATGTCCCATTCGGCCACAGGTATGACATTTCACTTTCTTCGCTGGACATGGTTCATCTTCAGGTCGATGATTTCTTCGTCAACATCGAATACATTCATCGTTGGTACGTTTTTGGCGACTCATCAGTCTATTGACTTGATTTTCCCTTACATTCATCCCTGAGGTGATGGTTCTGTTCGTTGCATTTCTTGTGACTGGCTTGTTATTTGTTCGTGAATTCGGCATATTTTGATTGATTCGTCCAAAGTATATTCCTTTTCTAGTAGTCACTTTTTCAGTTCGGCGTTCGCCCAATTATCGATCAGCTTATCTTTGAGGTTGATTACTAAAGCTTGTTTAGCTGTCTCTCCAAAGGTACATTTGGCGGATTGCTGTCGAATACGCAGTATAAACTTATTCAGCCCTTCACCTTCTAGTGGCTTCATGTTTCGAAACAGATGTCTCTCAAACGTCGAGTTGCGTTGTGGTGAAAAATATGCTGTCAGTTTGTCGACTAGTGTCTGAAAAACGTCGTTGTTTTCCTCCGGAACAAAAGTTTCGATTGCCCCTGGTATATTGAAAGCAACCTCTTGCAGTTGTGGTTCACCTAATTTGTTCTTCTTCCCAACCAAGTCTACGTTAAGCGCAATTTCTCATAGATACTGAACGTCCTAGTACCTACTTAAATATATCACTGTATATGTATTTTATAAATATTCCTATAAACATATACACACACATATACTTATAATCTATTGCTATATACTCACGTTTGACAACGTGGATGTCCAGACACAGAAGTTTCCTTTGCTGGCCTTTGCCTTCCTCACGTTACACGTGGACTTTTGAACCCTTCTGCACCCTTTCGGCACCTTTTTGGGACTAAGTTACTTCCCTTAGCCTTAGCTTCACTCACACGTTAGCAACGTGGAATGTGTACTTTAATTTTCACTAAGACTAGTGATCGGCCATAAATGCTGAAATAAATCACTATCTGAACTCATTTCGTATATATATATATATTTTATATTACATGAAACATAGAGACGAAACATTTACTATATAAAACGCCAGCATGACCCATCGTTGCGTCAGTGCTGACTCAGGACATCATTATTTCGTCGGCGACTGTCTTGGGTCTCCACAGTTATTACAATACTTACAACAATCAATATTAACGCTTTACCTCATGAAATCATCATAAAATATGCTTTTGATAGAAATGCATTATGCCGTAGTGAATGACGATCATTTCAACAAATCGTTTAGTTTTTTTTTTTAACATTGAGCAAAACATTTTAATATTGAGTAATTAATTAGCCTAAAATTAGCCCTTGTAATCCAATATATCAAATCGGTTAAAAATACATTATTTTTGAAAATGGCTCTGCTGAGTTCGGCCGAAGCTAGCAAGGCCGCAGGTTTCTTTCGAAAAATATTCATCAAAAAAGTCGAAACTGGGATAGTAATTGAGCCTACAATCAATACTAACGCTTTGCCTCATAGAATCGTCATAAAATATGCTTTTGATAGAAATGCATAATGCCTTAGTGAATAAGGAGTATTTCAAATTGTTTCAGTTTTTTTCAAAAAATATGGAATAGGGTAACTAATCATCCTAAAATTAGCCTTCAAATCCCAATGTATCGAATGTTTCGATGATATGAAGAGTTGAAGGAGTAATCACACTTCGCGCTGTTTATTAGGCGGCCAATCATCAAATAATACGAGTTAGGGCGGATCAAAATAGATATTATGAAATGCCAGTGTAATATCTGTGATAACATAAGTGTTACCCATGAAAATTGAATTTTGCACAATCATGTTATTTGTTATTTGCTTGTTATTTATTTTAATTTTCAATAAGATATGAGAATATGAACACAAAAGGAATACGAACTACTATAATATAGGTACAAAAAGATCAGTTCAATCAGCTAGAGAAGGACCATAAATAGATGATATTGAACATGTAATGAGCTGCAAAGTAGGTTTTGAATGATCAGTTAAAAAAAAACGGCCTCACAGGGTAATTTTTTTACTTTTTAATAAGTCAAGAGATATATTTTCACTATCTGAGACAATATACAGGAAGCAGCAAAAAGTGTATGAACTCTGAATAGAACACCTTATATATTATCTTGCCAATAGAAGGTACTTTTGAATAGCTTTCCAAAATTACCACACTCAATTTAATTATCTTCCATATTTCTTAATTTATTGACATCCAGAATGAACAGAGTTTAATCGTTTTTGAAATATAGCTACATATTATGGCATTTAATTATTATTGGCGATCAAACTCAGTTTTGGAGGCCCATACTTTGAAAAGTAGCTCCAGAAGATGAATATATTGAGTGTAGTATTTTCGGAAAGCTCCTCAAAAGTTCTTTCCATTGGTGAGAACTCATCGAGCAGCATCTTCTCATTGCCAACGATTTATTCACTGAAATTTCAAATGAAAAATATTGTCTCACTAAAATATTGAACGTCCGGCAACATTGAACGCACCTGCGTCGAACCCTTGGTTATAAGGGTCAATCTCTTCACGCAGTCGGCCGCATTTGTGTCGGGCCGTTAACCTCTGGAAAGTTTTATTCTCAAAAGTTGCTGTGGAACTTAAACTGGCAATAATTATTTTTGACAAAAATGTATTCGTTCATTTCGTTTCATCTTTTCGTGTTTTATTAACCATTTCATTCATTACCCCAATTTCGGAAACACCCTGTATAGGTACTGAGTAAAATGGTCAGAAATATTGGTGCTAAGAACACTCATCTTATCGATGAAGGCATCAATATTAGTGGCAGTAGCTTTATAAACTACACAAATACCATAATTATGAAACATTGTTGACTTTGAATTCTGATGCAGCTCACTCAAAACCGTAATCCATACTTAGTGCATTGATATCATGCCTGATAATTGGGTTTAAAGAGTTGTGAACATAAAGAACCACTCCTCCATGTGCGTTTTCCGCCATTCTGCAGTGCGAAGAAACCATGCATCCTGTAGTTTTCCAGTTGAAACGCCTCAATGCTTGCTGAGGATTGCCAGGTCGCATTTATTGCAATAAATTGTACCTCCAGGACACTGATTGTCACTGCAATGTTATTTATGCAGTTTGATATACCTTGCACATGTTGGTGAATTAAGCTAATAAAACGTTCACTAGTTGGTATTTACTCACTCTATATTCTTTGGTTGCTATTCAGTTCTGGTTTTTCTTATTTCAGTATCCACCATTCTCTTATAACATGCACACTCTGGATCCGTGACTGAATGGTTTGTTTTCAAGGATTTCCTAAATCTGTCATTGGTTTCTGGCCATTACTTGTATATTCTGAGGGTTTATGTGTGCCCGCACAATTGTAACAGGATCGTTTTCACATTAACCGGCAACATGCCCATAACGTGCACACTTGAAACATCTTACAACAGGAAAAAATTCATGTACCACACAACGCCTCCATCGTATGTTCAATTTCTCCATTAGACATATTCTGTTTTTCAATGAGGCATCTACAGAAAGTATTATGTTGCCCTTGTTATATATAGGGTGTTCAATTTGAAATTCATGTACTTTTTGCTGTTCCGTGCATATTTTTTCAGATAGTGAAAATGTATCTGTTGATTCGAGACAGCCAAAAAAAATCCCTGCGAGGCTGATTTTATTTTTAATTTTCTACTGTCAAAAATGAAAGAGTTATAGGGGGTGGTAGATGATAACGTCTTACCCAGTACATGATTCATGTTATTATTACTGCACGATAGACTTCAGAGTCTGTATGTGCAGTTACAATTTTGTATTCGGTGTTCGCTTTTTCGCAAAATAAACATACCAAGAAAGGATATATGAAATCAAAAACACATCAGATGAAATCTTTCACAGAGTACAGGTAGATTTTATTACATCAATGAGGAAACAGTGTGACGAGAGATCAATGTAAGTGCGATTCATTGTGATTATTATTTGGTGTTGAAACTGACATGGTTAGTCCCATAGTAGTTTCTAAGTAGGATTCTCAGAGACCAAGTTTCTGAAAACAATGCATTCTGCAGCATAACATGAGTTTATATACTTATGATGGACAGAAGTTATGAATGATCCACTAGTGGACCGTTACAGTATATTTCCGGTAAAACCGAAAGTGATATTCAATTGTTTTTTCATGGTTAATCTGGGTTTCAAGGAACTATATCTTCGATACAAATTTCCAAAGTCTAACATAAAAAACAACTGAATGATTCACTGGCCAATGATTTTGTTGTCACCCGGTAGATGTTTTTAACACTCTGTTAATTATATCGTAATGACAACATATTTATGTTTTTGTTTCAGTCACTCAACTGGAACGTCACACTGGCTGGATCCAAGACTCTCAAAGTTCCAGAAGAAAACCTTGGAAGATTGTCTGGATGACGAGCTTCCATACGGCTGGGAGAAAATAAGTGACCCACACTACGGCACTTATTTCATTGACCATGTCAACCGTCGAACCCAGTATGAAAACCCTGTAATTCAGGCCAAAAGGGCAGCATCCCAAGCATCTGCCAGAGTGAGTCGAACCTCATTCACTAAAGACCCATCTGAGCTATGTGGGCAGCGGTTCAAAACTTCACTTGTCAAGTCTTCTCGTGGCTTGGGGTTTACGATAGTTGGCGGCGATGATGGAGTTGATGAGTTTCTGCAAATCAAGTCAGTTGTTCCGAAAGGTCCAGCTTGGCTTGACGGCCAGTTACAGATGGGAGATGTGATCGTTTTTGTCAATGACACTTGCGTACTAGGTTACACTCACAATCAAATCGTTAGGCTATTTCAGTCTATAAGTGTTGGCTCCACAGTTGCTTTAGAAGTTTGCCGCGGATATCCCTTGCCATTCGACCCGAATGACCCCAATACAGAAGTGGTCACTACTATTGCTGTTGACAGCCATCTGCAAGCAGTGAGTGATGACAAATGTTTAGTAGACACCAACTATAATTTCCTAGACGCAGAAGATACAAATGATAAGTCTGTGCTGGAACCGAATAACGATATAGATGATATTATTAAAAGTATAGGAGGAATATCTATGGGCAAAGTTGAAGTGAGAGTACGCATAGTCAAGGGTAATTTAGGTTTTGGATTCACTATTGCGGATAGTGCTTGCGGCCAGAGAGTTAAAAAAATTCTTGACCACCAAAGATGTAAAAACCTTATGGAAGATGATATACTATTAGAAATAAACGGAATTTCTCTACTGAATATGTCTCATGATGAAGTGGTACAGGTACTGAAAGATTGCCCCTACAATAGTGAAGCAAATATATGTGTCCAAAGAGGATGCCCAAATAAGACGCCAAATATTAGAAATAAGCCTAGGAAATTAGATTTAAGGTTCAGTGGAAAGGATACAGGTAGTGCTTATCGAAGCAAAACGCCTACTGCAGATATTTATAGTACTCAGCCTCGAGAAGTACTACCTACAAGGCCGAAAACACCATTGATCGATACCAGAAGTCTTTCAAAAACTCCTGTCAAAGATATTAATTCGAATTCAAACAATGAACTCTTCAAACACGAATTTTCTAATGAAAATGTTGGTGCTGATAGATCTCGATTGCGTTTGTCTTTGATAGATAATCCAGATGAGGAAGATATTGATGAAATTGATATAGCAAATAATCAAAATAAACCTCCACGTGAATTTCCCCCTCAAATGGATATGAAATATGGGTTGTATATGCCGATTCCACATCGATACGACTGTTCTTGTGTTTATTGCACGAATCCGAGGACAGGTGCCTTGGAGTCTATTGATCCATACGAGAATGTGAAAAAATATAATGGAAATGATTGGTGGTACCAGTCTCAAAATAATGTGGAATATCTCACTACCGCCGTCACTTTGAACAGGCATGACACTGGGTTTGGCTTCAGAATTATTGGTGGAATAGAGGATAAATCTCAGGTGAGTTAATACTACCTAAATACTAACCACGTGCTTAGCATCATAGAATATCAACTATTCGGTAAATACCCGTTGCTGACTCGCCTGCGCTCTTTCAAGATATATGATATGAGAAAATTCAAAATCTGGTGTGCCACAAGGCTCAATCCTGGGTCCAACTCTCTACTTGATATACATAAATGCCAAAGCTAACTTGGGAACCATTGGAGATATAACACTATGTTGTTGGTTTTCCAGAATATCAAATAAGATTTAGCACAGTTGATAGAATGGCTGCTTTGCCACAAATTCACATTGAATATAAATAAAATCTGCCCTTATGTGAGTAGCCAATAATACTAGTACTAGAATATGTTCAAAAATAACTTATTCAAGTGGGTCACTTTAATATAAAAACCAAAATAAATAATTGAAGCTGATAATGGAGGAGACCACTGATTTTTTTGAAATGACGTCATCTTGAGCTCTATACCAAAAAAAAACTACCAGTCTCAATACGCCTATTGTCCTTGAGCTGACCAATCACACTGTAACACTGCAGAATGGCAAGGTATCAGAGAGAGATGGCTACAGTAAGGGACTAATACGTCACGGCTCCACCTCCATTTCTGGCTTTTTGAAATATCCAATGGAATATGAATCATGATTCATCGATTGAATGGGGTTTGTGGACGTATTTCATCCCTCAGTGGTCATCCCCATTAATGCAAAATTGTTCTGGCAAGCATATCTAGAATATACACGTCTGGCAAAAGGAATCTTCTCATGGGGAAACCATCTATTAAAGTAAATACGCATAGAGGTTTACGAGTACTTATCTAAGGGAGGAGAACAAAGCAACACTGCCAAACTGTGCCTTCTACCTACACAAGCTACACACAAGTAGGTATAATGGGAACATCGCTTACAATACTTTCTCTCTATTGGATATCCATGAATCTCTATGCGTATTCATTTCAATAGATTGTTTTTCTATGAGAACATTTGAGAAGATTAATACATTTGCAATATTTGACAATTTTGCAGTAATACATTTGAAAGTTATTCTAAACCACTAAAAATGTCTTTGAATCAATCAATAAAAAACTTAAAGCATTACTTTGAATTTATATGAGAATTACAATATTCATTGGAAAGTATATGTATAAAAAAGTATAAAATATTATTTCAGCACATGATTAAATTATCAACTAGTGTTCCAATCATTAATATTTGTGTGTTACATCATTGATTTGATATCTGAACTATATTTTATCAATAATTTGTCGAACTATGTAACAGAGGTGCTCCGAGATGACATTTTTGTGTTCTTTGTATATCACTACACTGTATTACTTACCACTAACCAAACCGATTTTTTATAATCCTCGGCACGTGTTACGCCAACTATGTTGGCATCTTCAGGAGAAGATTAAAATGGATTATTTTTGTGCAATAAATAAATTCAATCAAATTCAAATAAAGAGATGCGCCGATGGCCGGTGCATTGACGTTTACGTATAGTAGAGTTCCAAACGTATTGTAAGTCGCTTAGATCAAAAGTTGGTGGGAAATCGGAATTGAAAAGCTGTGATATGTGATAATTGTTACATACCATCACCAGATTATGGATCCACTTGTCGTCAAAAAATCGTCCTGTGCCTTTGAGAAGTAGGGAAAAAAAAGATGATTGTTTTATTCACGGAAAATATTAATGGATTTGAGTGATGTGAAATTTTGAAAATCCACCAATTTCTCTGATATATGAGGAAATTATATTTCAACCGGCGATAACTCGCGAATTTTCATTGAAAATGTTTATCATATACATCGCATTATCTCAGAAACTACAACGTTAATCAAAGAAATGCTTTCAATTATGTCGATTCGCCGTCCTTATTAATACGGAAGATATTGGAAAGATCATAATCCAATGCAGGTACTATGGAGGAATGCGTTACGCCGCTATCATACTCCGATTCTTCCCGCAATGCCCGCGACTGTCGTGGTTCCATACGCATTCGTGGGACCCATGTATTCGGTGGGTGACTAATTGTGGGTCAATCATTCGATATATTGGTCCTGTACCTATCATAACAATTAAATATCTATTGGTTTTCTGACCAGTGAATATCAAAGCACCAAGATGTATTGCAAATGAATCATAAAATGTGTATTCCTCCAGATAAACAATAAAAAATATAATTGCAATTCAAACACCGATCTTGAATATATCTTGAGGTTGAACATTTGGAGAGATGGTCGATTCCTCCGTAGTACCTAGATTACAGGTTACAGGTATTACAGGTCTGAAAACTCCAGAAAAATCGTAGGTTCAACACAGACTTGTGCTTTTTATATAAATTGTTGAATGGTATCATCGACTGCCCCGAACTTGTATCCGAAATTCAGCTAAATACAAACAGTAGGACTAGATACAAAGCGTTATTTTATATGAATCTTAATCATTATTAAACAAATTATGGTATGCATAGCCCCCTCTCAAGGATACCAAGGGAATACAATAATAATTGTACGTGTTGACATTTCCAGTAATTCATTTCGTTCATTAATTACCTACCATTAATAATACCGCTTTATAAGCATCTGTGTTTGATTACTGTGATAGGTACTATTAGATTCATACTGATTTAGGATATTGTTATGTTATAAGTATTTGTATTTGTTGTATTTGATATTTACATAGGTTTATGTTATTTATATTTTCGTTCTATCTTGTAATTTGTGATAATAAGTGAGTAATACTATATGCAATGGAAAACCGTTAAGAAAAGTTCTATTCTATTCTAAATAATTTTTATAAATATAAAACTTGTGAATGGCGAGTCAGAAGTAAAATAAACAACAAAACAGAATAAAACCACAGAGGTAATTTTTATTATTATAAATCACAGAAATATTCACTAATGTCATATTTTGGCCTAGTAGAGAACAGCTGTATTACAGTCCCTCTTCAATTTTTATCACAGTGAATTAAGCCTTGCATTTATCGGCAGGCGGTTATACATTTCAAGACATTCAAAAATCAATAATTTTTTCGTCAAACCAGATCTTGGGATTGGGAGAGGCAAGTTCCACTTCATCATAAATGTATCGCAAATGTATACTAATAAGAAGAACAAGAATAATGTTTATTTATAATATACTGAATAATTATGACAATAATCGCCATTAACACTTGAGTAAAATTAGAAAGAATTTGCATGCTGTATGTATGTATGTATGTAATTATAGTCCAACGGACGTTAGGAAAAATAAAGTTTGGTTATGTCTTTTAAGAGGTTGGGCGAGTTTATAGTAAATAAATAGTTTCTATATATTTTTTTTCAATTGATTTCCCTTGTTGGTGCCAGCACTGGAACCAACGCCCCATAAGTCGAAACTAGTGCGGGGTTAGGGATGCATAAGCGCACAAACATCCCTGGCCTAACTTGGGCTCGAACAGGGCCGTAGTCCATTCCCTCTACCTCGATGCTAACGTCACACTAGTAGGTTGAGATTTCACATCATTTCATATCGATGCATTCGTAATTGAAAGGTTATAGCTCATTTACTTTAAAAAATAGAAGCACACTCAATCGAGACGAATTGATCTCTGATGAACTACCCAACTTTCGGCAACCAAATAAATTCATTAGGATGAACCAGAACCGATTTATGATGTTGTGAAGAAATTCAATTTTAATGAAAAGCAGGACGTTGGACTACGGAATACTATTTTTTGCCAATTTGGAATCGGTTTAAAATCAAACTGACTGAGTATGTCATACTAGGATAATGCATCAATCAAATAGTGAGAAAATTATTGAGCTACCTACCATGATTCCGAAATAAATTAGAAATAAAGAGCGCGTAAAAATTTGTCTAGTTCCTATTATACCTACCTAATTGCATCCTATTAACGATTTCGAGGTAATTCCCTATAGGTAAAGGGCAATGCACGTTTTATTACTCATGTTCCAGTTGTGGGTCTTTTGATGCCTATTTTGAAAATATAGAATATTGTGTTGAATAATTAGGTATTGCATATGAAATATAGCGGGGGATTCAGTCAAATAATAAGAAAAGAAGAATCATTAGACTTTCCGGATGAATATGGAGCTTTGAGCCTATTTTTTTGTTTTTGATGTATACATTTTGTTATAAGTATATGTCTTTTTGCAATATCTGGCTAATTTTTCTTTTTTATTATAAATAAATGCAAAAAGCTCAAAGTCATTTCCACACAGTGTTCATAAACTGAACAACAATGGTAGATTTTTTATTATGTTGAATATTTTCAGAATGGCTTTCGTTTAGTATTGTGTGTATGTGTTGTGTAATTTTCATATTTTGAAAATGTTTTCAAATCAATTTATCTTCATTAATATGAGATTATTTCTAAAATATATACTCCATAGCTGAAAATAATCAATTCGCTGTCAAGGTTTTTGCTTAATAACTTCTACTCGGTCCAAATTATCTTTAGACATAAACGCTGCTAAAATCCTCTGAGATAAATTAAGTATCATATCGATTTGTAGGCAATGAAATTTATTACAAAAAAGTGAGTGACAGCATATATCCACAGGTTCAGCATAGGGGCCGTCTAAACTTTTCGAACTAGTCTGTAATAATCATCTGAATCACCATTTTACTTGAATTGAAATATCGGCTTGTTATTGACTCTTGGGAATTTTGAAAAAAATTACAGTCGATACTATGAGAAGCATTCGCATGGTTGAATCATTTCTGTGAATTGAATATTGAAATTCTAGCAGCTGTTTAAAAAACTACAATTCTGAATGTAGTCAATTCATTTTGATATGCTATATTTCATGAATCATTAATCGTGAATCAGTGAATATTGATTTATCTCTTGGAATATTGATTTATCTCTTGAAAAAGTCTAGTCTGTACATATTTGAACTCTTGACATTTTTGATAACTGTTACCGTTTTCTCGTGGTACCTCAATGCATTGGAAAACGCAATTTCCAGCGCTTCGATTTTGTCCCTACTAGTGTGACGTCACGAAAGCGATGCTCCGGCCCGGTGACATAGAGTAGGCCCTGGCTCGAACCCATGTCTCGGTGGGAGTTCCCATACGAAATTTTTTAGCGGAAATCTATGAAACAAAGAATCGATTTCAGGTGGCCGTGGGCCACATCGTAGCAGGTGGCGCAGCAGACCTCGACGGCAGGATAAGATCGGGCGACGAAATAGTCAGCGTCGAGGGTTATTCGGTGCTGAAGGCCTCGCACCGGCAAGTCGTCCAGCTGATCAACGCCGCCGCCGCCAGAGGTCAGGTCAGCCTGATCTTGAGGCGGAGAGTGCACCCGCCTCCCCTGCCGATGAACTCCGCGTTCTGGCCGCAGGACAATCTAGCGCAGATGAACAACGTCGGCGCCCCGCTCGTCGTGGCCAATCCGCATCCCGGGCCGGCTTATGACGTCACCGTGCAGAGGACCGAGAACGAGGGGTTCGGGTTCGTTATCATTTCCTCTGCCAATAAGATCGGATCCACTATCGGTGAGTTTTTGAATTATTTGTATGTTTAGAGGTTATTCAGCTTTTTTACTACGATATTGTTTTGATATTGTTTATATTCATCAAGATACAAAAAAGATATTGATTTATGTACAGTCGAATGCAAAGAACATGTTCTAAAGGTTATTGAAATTTCTCGCATATTCAGTGCGTATTTTTATAATAGTATTGAGCCCATTCACTATGAATAAATGTATATTTATGTGTATTTTTGTAATGGGGTTTCCCGAAAATGAAATGAAATGAATAGAACATGTTGGATGGTGTTAGCGTTTTTTTGCATAAGTGACCAGAAGTGCTATCACCGCCTATGTGCATGTTATTTGCAGCTGACTGTAAACGTAATAATGAGTAAATGCAAAGTCAGTTGGAACAACACATCAACCGCGGGCCGTCGGTCCCTTCAAAAGTTCAAAGAGAGCGGCAGCGCGGTCCGGCATTCCTTTGATGATCTGTTTCAACTGACTTTGCATAATCATGAAGTACATGCGAGACAATAAATGAAAATAAAACTGAGAAAGACAATGAGTAAATGAAAAATATACGTGATTTGTAGTATGTGGAATGCACTTCAAGAAGTAATAGGACGTCTCAGAAAAATGCTGTAAGTTCCTAAAAATACATGTCATAGAATGTTTTGCTCAAGGTCCACCCCACTTATTGTGATGGCAAAAATCGATAGATCCTAATTGAAAAAGTAACGTTCCTAAAAACATTGGTCATAAGACGCGTTGTTCTATAAATACAGGTATTTGAAAATAAACCTAAAATTATTCTTATCCTCATCCTGTGTGAGATATCGTTATGGCAAGACTTCGAGATGATTTCCATCATGGTTATCGAGTAAACTGACCGGGTATATTTTATGATTATTATCCGACACCTACACCAAAATTTTTTGTTTAATCTGGTCTATCTGTTTTCAATTGAAATCAAGATTCAAACATAAGGCCTGTGTGCTGTGAAACTGAATGATATTTCATTATAAAATTTCAAACCTATATCATACATAATAATAGTATATCATACACCTAGGGTGAGAAGGGGCACGCTGTTGCTATATTCAAAGTGATAATTTCAACTAGTGTTCAAAGTAAGATCAATATTTTTGTAAATATCCAGCAGATCGAAAGTTAAGGGGAAGGGGTACTTCATGGGCTCACTGTTTGAGTCATCTGACTTTGCTGACTTGATTGGCCATAACTTTCTATGCCCTCCCCCTCTATTATCCCCTGGATCTGTTCCTGGACATTGCAAATTAATATCCAATTATTCTAGAAATGATTATTGCTGCGCAAATATGGATTATTCTATAATATTCAAAATATTTTCTTGACTTCCGTGAACAGTGTAGAATGTACCGGGTCATCAACAATGATTAAACACCACGTGACCATATTCGTATGCAACCAATACATTTTTGTTGTCATGTTTACTTATTCAGGTAATATCATCATATATGTCATATTTGCACCTTGGATCATTCATGGCTGTAGTTTCCAGTGTTTACGTTCTGTGGTTCACGTCCTTCGCAATTTGATTGGCTCGTTAACTTGTCAACTGTCATAGCAGCCAATAGCTTGCCTTGTTTACAGAAATTTGAAACAGGAATGTTGGTTCGCGAATCTGTCTCTTCAATTTTGTGTTTTCGAAATTTATACTGCACAGCTGTAGCTAATTAGCACCCAGTAGTGCTTTGTTGTCTTTTCTCCAGGGTTTGTTGATAGTTCATATGGTTCTTGATTTTATTTTATTGTTCTTTATCAAAACTACATCTCCAATTCAGTGTTGTGTTAAGGTAAGACCAATAATTAATCTCTTGTTTTTATTGTTCCTGTCCTTATTTTCCTTTCAGGATTAAACATGTTTTTGTACTGACGGCACATTTCAGAAGTGGTACTCGTAATCCTGATGGAACGTGGACATATTCACTTGCAACCTGCCGGGAATGATTTCATGATGCATTTCCAAATCCAAATATCTCATAGGCCTTTGTTTTTTTTATAACAGCTGTTAATTTCCAATGTTTTGTTTACCAACTGTGCAGTGTTGGTTGCAAACACATTTTGGTAACGTGGTGTTCAATCATTGTTGAAGACCCTGTATATCAAACTAGAAAAAATTCATGTCCAATAGTAAAAAATCGTTTTTGGACATTAATTATTAATTTTTTTCAATTTTCTATCAGGCCGATTGATTGAAGACAGTCCAGCAGAAAGGTGCGGTAAGTTGAGAGTAGGAGACTACATTGTAGCTGTAAACCATATAGACATAATGCATTTGAGTCACGGTGATATTGTTAACTTGATCAAAGAGTCTGGCTTATCAGTTACTTTAACGATAGCTCCTAATCCAGATCTGTGATTGAAATTCAATTGGCCGAAACTCAAAATATCATTCTCAGTTGGTAGGAAGAAATCCAGGTTTTTCAAATGTTTCAGAAAGTGATGGTTGGGTTTTCGAATCTGTGGGTCCTAAGGCCATGTGATCAAATAAAAAGCACCTGTGATTCAGAGATGAACATTCATGTGCCTTTAAGAAAACGAAGTAGGTTTGGGTTTTTATTTCTCTTTATGTCAGCTGTAAATCCACACTGAAAATTTGAGATCAGTTGAACTATATATTATTATTTTAAAATTATTTTTGTTGACGATATGTCGTTTTCTAAATATTGTTCATTCCTCCAATATTTCCGATATTCATTTAATCATTTGAAAGTCCAACAAAACAGCAACAATTCTTATTCTAAATTCTACTTATATTTAAAAACGACCAAAGATCTCGATAATAAAAATAAGTCCTTAATTGTTTTTGTTATTCAACTTCATTTCGTGATTTCAAATTTTAATAATTTTAATGATGGAGTATTGTAATCATCATATGCATGGTCTTACAAAAACGTTTGAATGGGCAAATATGAAGTATTTTTTATGGGCATTCAGAATTCAATACTAGGAAATGCAGAAAAGCATCGAAAACCCAAAAACTTTTACATGAACAAGTATTGTTTAAATGGAACACCCTGTATTTTATTATCCTTATCGATAGAGCTCTTACGATTTCAAATATGCGGTCGATTCGATGTAAAGTTTTCGAAAAATAAAGATTTTTTCGTATAAAGCCTTTTACTGCAGCCTTAGATTCATACGGAACATTCTATATTTTTCGAAAACTGACATAGATAATCATAATCAGGTGGATATATTTTAAATCAGAAGAATGAGCTTTACCTATTAGGAAAATGAAAAAGAGGGTGTTCCGTTTAAAAATTAGCAGTTTATGTAACATTTTTAGGTTCACGATGATTTTCTGCATTTCCTAGTAGGTACTGAATTCTGAATAGCCACAAAGCATACTTCATATTTGCTCATTTTAACGTTTTTGTATGAACAATCTTATCTGAGATAAGCATTGAGTTAAATATGTTTATGTAGTCATGATTCGTTCGATAATCCGAAAAATTCTATATTTTATTTCTTGAAATCGCATATTTTCTCATATATAATACTTCTCTCAACACATTGGATTTTGGAGTCAGGGGCCGAGCTCTCTGGAGCCCTCAATTCAGTTAGACCGCTTAGGTGGGTCCATTATGTATCATGGTATCCTGAAGAAAATTTGTATGATTTTCATCCAATTGCGGATAGGAAGATATTCCAAAAACGTTTACAGATGTAGTGCCAATGTATCATTATGTGACTGGCTTTTCAAAAGAAACACATTTTTTGAGGCGGAAAGTATCGTTGTAACTGTAGGTCGATAAAAACATCTGAGATCAACAACCGCAAGTAAAAAATACAGGTACTTCGCCTGAGCAAAAGACCATCAAAACTACTGTTGTTGTTCTAAAATTGTTCTTATCCATCATTCGGTTGCCCCCTCACGAGCAACCCTCAGAAGTCTTCAAGAGACTTGTGCGAGCAAGGAATGACGGTGGTCTTACCTTTTAACGTGTGATAAACACTTTCTTAGGCCATCAGAAAAATTTTTGCGGTCGTGGTGGGAATCGAACCCACCTACCGGCAATCCAACGTAGATAGAACATTGACGCTTTAACCACGAGGCTATGCTGGCCTAGATGATAAGCCCGTTACTGGTGGAATAGGAAATGATGGAAATCTATATTCACAGGTGCTTTTCAGATCTTTCACCTCTTAATTTTTAATTACTTTTTTTTCAATAATCGCGGTCAACAACGAAATTGCTACTCTGTTAACTTTGAAATGGCAAACAGAAAATTTGTGATAAACTACTGAGACACCAAAAGTTACTTGGCAAACTGAAGGAAAGAGTTTTGTCCAATAGAAATGTCAAACGAATCATTTTTAAATAAAAAAACTTGGATTTTTTTCTAAATCATCTACTGAGAGAGACTGTGAACAAACACTTTGTTACTTGTGAGATCTCTTGATAATTATTGCTTATTTTATAATTTCAATTGGAGCCTTTTGAATCTGTAAGATTTTCATGTGCGTAGTTGTTATGTTGATAAACCTTATATAAATGATATGACAATATACAATATATCTTTCAAAAGATTGTTGAGAATTTCGTTAACACTATATTGGGTATTCCATCCGAAAAATGTTTTGATCTCAAAACCACGAGATGAAAATTTGCTCATCATGATAATACAGTGAGACCAAAGTTATTTGTATTGAATTAATTTTTGCAGGGCTATTCAAATGAAACTTGAGGAGCCATATAATCGGGAGACTGAATCATTTGATTCCAGGGAAAAGTAAAACATTTTGGTTTTTGCATATCTTGATACAAATCCAACTAGTCTATGCAATCACTTTTGATATTAAGAGTAATCACTGCCAAATGAGTATTTTGATAATGGATATAATATGGGATTTATGCTATTAACAGACTGATGAATATGAAAGACATTATCAAAAAGTTACTAAGCATTCATTTATTTATAGTCATCGGTTCTGAGAATGCATAAAATAAATGAGGTTCGTGAAAAAAAAAATCTTCAATGGTAGAGAATGTTTACAAATTTGAAATTTTGGTTGCACAATGGATTCTTGTGGAAGATTAAAAAAAAAACTAACAAAAATTTAATTTGGTAACGGGTTTTCCGTAGGCTACTATTTTTTTATTATAGCTTCATAAATACATTTCATTCTCCAGATATGACTACTTCAAGTTTCTATGGATGGTTCATTATGGATTTTAATCAACATGTTTTAATTATGAAAATTGGCTCAATTGAATAGAAACTTAATCAATGTTATGTTTTTATATTAGATATAACTCAGTATATAATCCCAACAATGTAATTTTTATTGCAATAATTTTGTTAATTATGTTTGTACACACCCAAATAATTCATTTTTTTACAGTAATAACAGATTCGAATACTAATCATTATATTCAACCCTTTTCTTCTGTGAATTCATGAATAAATACCGATTCTATTATTATACACCATGCTCAAGAAGTACATGAGGCGTTAGAATTCTAAGCATTGGTATCTCGTAAACCGTGAGCGATAGAAAGTGGGGAGAATGTTGAGGAATCGATAATACTCCACCTGAGAATGGTGAGACATTTTAGGCCTGTTCGTTTGTGTTTGCTCTACCTGCTAAACTTGATTTTTTTCTATGACTGTTCATATCATGCCATGAATAGAGACAACTATGGACACACAATCAACTTTAGCACGTTTATCATCACAAACGAACATACCTTTTGTGTTATTGTATTGGCCCAACTACTGTCAAATTCAGTTTGACCTGCCAAGATTAGTCGTTTCCTGATTCGAAGAAGGTAGGAGTCCAAGAAGTTGTTTTATTTCTGATTTTTAAAAATGGATTGAAAGTATGGAGAGATTCGACTTTTGGCCACGGTAGGACAAACATGGCGTCTCCAGGCCAAAAGTCAGGTTAATGTGTTAGCAAGTCCAAAATTTTCTAATTACCTGATCTGGATTGAAATCCAATATTTAATGTGAAGTTTATCTCTACGCCGGTATAGAGGCCGGATGATGACGGATTCATCGGATAAGGGGGCCATACTTGAAGTCGAACGTGCTCCATTATTTCTACACCGGTAACCAGGCCGGATCAGCAACGGATTTGCTGGATAAGAGTAGTACATACGATCGAATCTTATGAACACTGATGACTCGGCTTCAGGCCATTGTGATAGACAATCGGTGTCTTATGTGGCGAGTCGAGTGATAATATTATTACATAACCAATTATTTATTCTTGAAAAAATCAATTACCTGATCTGGAGAAATAGTTACTGAAAGGAGACAGAAATCCAATAAACCCAAAGAGAAGAAGAAGAAGAAGAAAAATTGATTGGACAATCCACCAATTTTCGACCATGTCTCTCAAATGGTCCCTCATGAATCAATTGTGCTCAATTGTGAAAATAGAATAGGTGTCCGCTCAAACTTCAGTTTCCATAAATTTCCACGGAACTAACAACTCACTGAAACGTAGTGTTTCAATATTGATCTTGATTGTGATGAGCAATAATATTTTCATAGTGGTCTAGTGCTAAGAATTAGAGAACTCAATTATTTCCTGTCCAGATCCATATTTTATTATGTTTTCTATACTTTTTTTTTCTCGATTCATTTACGTACCAAGAGGATGAGGAGATTCTATTTCGGTACATCTTATAACCAGTTGAATTGCCAATGAGTCACACATTGATATGAAAACTACAAACATAAAACAAATAAAACTACAAAATACCGATAAACAGAATTTGGTAACTTGAATAGAAAAGGGATAAGTTGGGAATGAGGAAGCTCATTGTTAATGTATATTTCATCATAAGTACACACCCACTACAAATATGTTGAAAATGAATTGGCTGCCTGTTGAAGATGACTTCGAATTTTTTTTATTGATATTTGGGATATAAAGAGGTGAATGATCTTATTATTTGATAATAACAACGAAATCCATAATCACAACACCAGACAGAAAGAACAGCTTTTTATTCCACCGAGATGTAAAAGATTGGTAGAGAATTCCGTTTTTTCAAGTATTGAAGCAACAATGACTTCAAGAGAGATTTTTTCTGACTTGGAAATACTGTTCCGATCAGGAATAGAGAATTGATAAATCCAAAAGAATGGCTATAAGTGGAGAGATTTTATAAGTTTTTGTTACACCTTCTTGAAATTGACATTGCCTCAAGACATGGCATTAGCCTGATGAGTTATGTTCCATTGTGGGTGAATTTTTGGTTGAACTCGATTTATACATATTTCAGAACGTTTCATTGGATGAACTATTAAAAAATATAAACCTTTAGAATACTCGAAACTTAATTCGAACCGATTTTATATTTCACACAGATTACGAGATTCCAATGTCGAGAAGCAAATTTGTTAGAACCTGTATATATTATCGCCATTGTGGTAGATCTTATAAAATATAAATGTGTTGTAACAACGTGTATAGGATTTCCAAAGCAACAGATGACAACACCCTGCATATTTTTTTCCTATTCATCTCATAATCGAATCATGTAGAATTTTTTAATTTAATAATTTTATGAAGAACATTGGACCCACTGATAGTTTTTATGGTCCACCCCAAAATCGCTGAAATAATTAGTTAGTTAGATTGATATTTATTATTATCATTCATTTTGAAGCTTGTCTGAAATCATTATTTCAAATGATCATTAATTTTGAAATGAAAAATTAACAATACCAAAAATTTGGAAATGTTAATATGGTTTCTAGAATCAAAACTGGATGTGAATGGTCTCATCAATGATGGAAGTAAGATATGGTGTGCGCTTTTGTTTCAGAAATTTTACTCGACCTCTCGAGAGCAGCGACGGCAATGGTTCCGTTGATCTTCTAATAGATGGCGACATTGCACAATTATGACTTCTGTCAGTTTTGTAATTGTAGCAGATTTTTCGAATCCAGAGTTGTTTAATCCCACTGTTACATATGTTCGCGTACCTAAAATGGCATTTGCCATTTTATTTCCACTCGTCACAGCAGCAACATCAGCATCACCATCTAGCAGGAAAATGTAGAATCAACGTCTCGCTCGTTGTGATGTAGAGAAATCATAGTAGGCCGGTCGAGTGATTTTTCTGAAATCTTCAATATGTAATAATGGCCGAATGCGCACACCATATCTTACTTCCATCATTGTCTCATCTTAACAAAAACATATATTGGCCACACCTTTCATTGGTCTCTGAAAGGATTCCTTGGTACTAAAAGTGAAGCTGTGTAGTTACATGAAAACTCATCATCTCCACAACTTTTATTTAACCCTGCACTGGTGGCGCATTAAATTTTATCACAACTGCCGAGTCTGATAGACCCTAAATAAAATAAAAATGAAATTTCATATTCAGCCTTCAACATTGTTATATGCAGATCACAAAAAACTCGATTCTGATCAAAAAACTGTTATATATTTGAATAATTGCCGAATATACTATGACTACTAAAAATACTGGAATTGTGAAAAACATATATTTCTATGAAAATATAATCACAATTTCTAATCAACTCATCAGTTTATATAATATATAATTGCTCATTTATATAAGTTTTGAAATTTTTCGAAGATCAAATATTAGCAGTACGAAAACGTGTTTCGGGCTTATATTAGCCAATCATCAGGCAATTCAATGGTAAATAGTCCTACAAAATAAAGGGTCTTTCAACAAGGACCGGTCGATGTTGTAATTGAATAAAACAAGCTGTGTGTGAGATATTAACTTTTTTATTTTATTTGAATGGCCCATTTATGCCAATATTTATGGAATATGACATCGTTCAAATGTCCGCCGCGGCTTCGAATGGTGGCACGGATCCGAGAGGTCCAATTTTCAATGACTCTGCTGCATAAATTCGGCTGAATCTGAGCAATGGCTTGCGTTATGTTCACTTTCAGGGCATCGGTCGATTGCGGCTTATTAACATAGACCTGCGACTTCAGAAAATCCCACAAGAAGAAGTCTAGTAGAGTAAAATCACACGATCTTGGCGGCCAATTTACTTCACCTCTGCGAGAGATAACCCTACCCTCAAACCGTTCGTGCAGAATGTCCATTGTATCGTTCGCTGTGTGTCACGTTGCGCCGTCTTGTTGGAACCACATGTCGTCCACGTCCATATCGTTCAATTCAGGCCAAAAGAAATTGTTAATCATTGAACTGTGGCGCTCGCCATTGACGGTGATGGCCTCGCCAACGTCATTTTCAAAGAAGTACGGACCAATGACGCCGCCGGACCAAAATCCACACCAAACAGTAACTCTTTGTGGATGCATTGCCACCTGGTGAACCTCCTCTGGGTTGTGTTCATCCCATATACGGCAATTTTGCTCATTAACAAAATCATTCATCCAAAAATGGGCCTAGTCGCTAAAGATTATTTTTCGGCCAAAATCGGGGTCGTCTTCCAAACGTTCCGACGCCCACTGAGCGAACAAACGGCGTTGCCTATGGTCATCAACTTTGAGCTGCTGGGTCAGTTGGATCTTGTACGGGTGTAGGCCCAAGTCCCGGCGCAAAATTCTCCAAGTCGAATTCTGTGAAAGGCCTAGTTCTTGTGCACGGCGAGAAATCGACTGCCTCGGAGTCTTGCACACTCTGACGGACAGCGTCGATATTATCGGCCGATCTGGCGTTCCTTTGACTTTGAAGGGCCACCGCGTCTGCCGTAACGTTTGCACTAACGAACACTAATTTTGATAATAAAGTTTAATCATTTGGACATGCTGCTCGATCGTTTAACTTGTGACTGAATAGAATACAACAGATTTGACAGATGCCCCCAAAAAAACATGGCCGTCACACACTGTCAACATCGACCGGTCCTTGTTGAAAGACCCTTTATTATCACTGACAAAGGCTATAGGTTAAACTTATTACTCACTCACATGAAAGTGAAAAAATGATGAAATGCGACTATTGTAGACAAATAATGGGTCTTGACACCTCTATCATTTTTTCATTTCCATATAAGCATATATTAACGAGTCCCCTAGATATACACCGCCCATGTATTTAGACGGTAACGCTTGTTTGGGCCGCTATTGCGAATTTCCGCACTTCGTCGCGAACTCGATTCTTTTGCAGATTTCTTTAACATGGTATTCAGCGTATAGAAGCGGAGTTGTCAAATGTTAGGTTTTGTTGGATTTCCAATGTATTGGTAGGTACTACAACCACAAGTAAATGTAGTATAAAACTTCCGTGGTAGGTATAAGAGAATTCAATCGATGGTAAGATGCTATTTTATTAGTTTTCCATTGTGCTCAAAATATAATTACTCATGACGTGTTATTGATGTGCCTACCTATGTGAACCTAGAGAATTCAAGAATATGAGTTGGAAATGAATGGTTATGATTGTGAAGAAGTTGAAACTTTGGAAATCCGATTGATCGAAAAATTGACGAGTTTAGAAACTGAAGATGCATTGGGATATGGGGCACTGTTCTTAGGGTAAACAGTCAATGAATTTACTGTTCATATGTGCTAAACTATTTGAAGCGAAAAAAAAGCATGAACATTAGATGACAATTTGAAGAACATGAGAATTGGAAAGTTGAATGATCAACAAGTTGAAAATTAATATGAATAGATATTGGGTTGTTTTTAGAGTAAACCACTGGTAAATATATAGGGTTACTGTTCTATTAATTTTCTATTAAAAGGTGGGAGGTTCAGAAGCAAGAGCATTTGAACATTAGAATGTTGATAATGCATAATGATATATTCAAGCATAGTATGGATTCTTCTAAATGTTCAGATCTGTCTGTATGTATAAAAAAAAGTCCAAATTCAGTTACACCATTTTTAACTCAAGAACGGATGGACCAATTTCTATATTTGATTTTTCTTATTACGGAATAGGATAATGAGTATAAAAATTCTTCAAAATCAGGAAATTCAAGATGGCGGACCCAATATGGCGAGTTTTGTGATTATAATCCGATTCTATTCAAAATTGGTATCTGGGGGTTTTTGTGGTCGCATTCTTTGTCACAATTAGTGAATTCTATATGGCGGATCCAATAATGCGAACTAGTTTTGTAATTATTATCTGATTCTATTCAAAATTGATATCTAGGAGTTTTCGGAGTCGGAGATTATGATTCTCTGGTCAAAATTAAGAAATGCAAGATGGATCCAATATGGCGGACGAGTTTTGTACTTATGATCCGATTCTATTCAAAATTAGTTTCTGGGGGTTTTCGGGGTCGGAGATTATGATTTTTTCGTCGTAATTAGGAAATTCAGGATGGCGGATCGAATATGGCGAATGAGTT